AGATGAAGGCAGAGAGTGAAAGAGAGAGAAATTCTGGAGCTGGCAAAGTGCCGTCGCAGTGAATTCAGGGCCAGTCTTTAACTGTAGCCAGAAGCGGCGTCGACTCCCTTGCCATTCCCTCGTGAACTCCCCTGCCGCACCACCCCCGAGCACCCCCAGATAATTAAACGAAATTCATTTACATAGCTGGAGTAATACGGACCAGCCGTGGTAGGATGGGGGATGGGACAAGGAGGGTTTGCCAGTAGGTGGACGGGTCGTCGGGTTTATGTTGGTCGACGTAGGTATCAACTCCCATGGGCTGAACCCTCTGAACACATCAACCACCCACTTTTGATTTTCGACGGAGACATTTATGTTACGAAAACTCCTTTACGTGCCCTGAGCTTTCGGTCTAGTCCCACTGCTCCTTCTTCAGCACATTTACACCCAAGAATACTTTCTGAGTCAGGTACTCCTGTAAGTGCGAGTCACTTCCAGCCAATCTCACAGTCAAGTCAAACGGCTTTGGGCATTTTGACAGACCTCATATCTTCTTACAGCTTGGTATTCATCAGGTACTTGACAGCAATTATGAGACACCTGATGGGATCAGACAGAGACTGTGCTATATGCGGATATAATGTGAGAAAGGTGATAGAAGATCAATGATAAATGTATATACAACCTCAGACATCCGCATCTTGCTAACGCTATACGAAGTCTAAGAAGATCGACCAGGTGATGTTGGGTTGACTCCTGGGTGACGAAGTGGAAGGATGAGAAGGAAGGTGTAGGGTCCTAGCAGCCTCCAGGGACCAATAAACTTGGGTCCTCTTCTTACAAGATATTCTGCTACTCTCCTAGTATTCTTTTGTGTGGCCTTGGACATCTACGTGAATAACAGCATCCTGGTCCATGTAGGTACGTTATTTGCCATATGGTTGGATCACCTGAAAGCTCTTTCACCTAGTGTACCTTTTTTCATTTCAGGAATAACGAACAGTCCATGCGGTGGGATCCTTCGGGTTGTGAATAAAATCCTAGACGTGGCAGCAGAATGATTTTTAAATGGAATGATAAAAGCCCTAACTCAATAGCACTAGGTTCTGAGGATATTTATACTCGATGGGTCAGATAATTGAATGAGCAGCTTCCCCAGATATCCAAACTCAACACCCTTCCTGGAAACTCGCTTACTTACTGCCAGCAATAACTGAAACTGGCGAGGGTTCAGGGTGAGAGAGAGAGAGAGAGAGAGAGAGAGAGAGAGAGAGAGAGAGAGAGAGACTCACCCTTTACTTCAAGAGGTAGAAGGGTAGCTGCTCGAGTACCTTTGGGCAAACCTAACGGTGTTACCTTGAGGATGTTCTTGTACCTTGGCATCCCTACATTGCTTATCCTTGTCCTGAGTCCTCTTGACATTTTCAGAAGTACCGAAAACCTCCACTTCCTGACAGACATTGGATTTTCTTAAGAAAATACAAAAAAAAAGGCGGATTAAAACAGTAAAAGGGCTTATCAACAGCAGCAGTAAAGTCTGACAATGAATGATCGAAGGCGATTAACAAAAGCGTCGAAGGTGGCAGAGCCGACAGTAGAGACGGGGACAATGGTGGAAGCTGAACTGTCCGTACAAAGCAAGAGGTACCGGCACCGGCAACCTTCACAATGGAACCTTGACCATGTATAAGGTATATCTATATATCAACATTTTACCCTGTATCCTGGTACTTGTTACCGTTGCTGCCGTTGCTGTTCCAGGCAGGATATCTGGCAGCGTGCGAGCGGAATTACGGTATCCAACATTTCGTTGCGGTCCAGAATCCATCGGTCAAATTGATGTTGCTGTGGTGGATGGGGTGTATCTGGTACATCGAGTTACCGTGCTACCTCAAGCCCCGGTACCTAACTCCATCTAGAAGTGGCCCCTAGTTTGGGCAAGGGCGAGTACATAATGCCAGGACCAGATGGGATTACCTCAACTGAACTTCGAAGCGTGATGCTTCCTTGAACTAGTATCTACCAGTAGTAATCGGGGATATAGTAAATACTACTACTACTACTACTGGCACTAGTATCGACGAAGAACGTAGAAGGGTTTTCGATAATGCAAAAGGGAATCGGTTGTCGAAGCACGCGGATATTAAACAGCCAGCATTCAGCACGTCATTGCACGGCAGATGAAAGGATGCGAGAAGTGGTCCAGCCTGGAGTAATCCTCTAACAGATTTGAATTCTAGGTACCTGAAGAGCCAAAATTCTCATAGAGGATGACTTACACTGGAGCTGCTGAAGAGCTGGAGGCTTCGTAATATTCTCTGATCGGCCTGTAACCGAAATGCTCTCATCACTCTGCATACTGATATCGATTTCCCTTGGGCTACAAAACCGAACGACCAATCCAGCCATACATGACGCTGGATATCGTGATGCGCTGCATGCCGCTCCAATCGGTACGGGGATTTCCTTGATTCGAACATCATCGCAGTTACGCCGATGCGTGGCACACGTCATTAGCCATCCAACTATACGACTAGCTCAGTTGGAATATCGATTTGCCCAATGGGTCTCATCATCTGTCATCTGGACCAGCATGCCCTGGTACCGATGATTATCCTCGAGAGAAGATCGCAAGACGGTCAAAGCGTATTCATTACTGTTTCACAAGGAGTGACCTAACCTTACCATTAGAATTTTTTGGCGACCAATTGATCGATCCGTTCGATTCCTATTCCGAGTACCGTTTGGGGTTGAGAATCAGCGTAAGGGGATGAAGCCACTTATAGGGCGCCCTCCTAGGAGTCTAGGGGGGTTGGGCGTGGTGACATGTGCGGCTCGCGGAAAAAAATTACGTAAATTAGTGTCAATTGCGGCCACCGATGGCTTTGAGAGATGACGTGGGCGGACTGCAGGGCGTCGGGACGCCAGAGCGTCGCGAGGCAGGGTGGTTGGTTACCGGAGGGGCTGTTACGGCAAAGGCTAGCAAAGGCTTGCAGAGAGGAGAGGACACCCTGGTACTGTGTGTGATTGATGAGCCAGTGATAGCGACGGGTCTGCACTCGACATCTCGCCACTGCCGCCGAACAATGCATATTCATCGGATGTATAAATAATGCCTGTTTAATATATAAATATACATTATGCAGCCGAACTATAGTCTGGCTACACCCGGTGCTTCCCTACTGGAAAGGAATCCAATTTGACTGTGCAATGTTTATTAACGGTATAATCTCATGTTGCTGTGGGTAATTTTATATCGCATTGATCGTCATACTTATTTATCCAATTAGAAAATTAAGAATTACCCTTTTTACAGATAAATTTGATCCAGAGACACATGACTGGTTACGTTCAACATTCAATGGCTGGCTGGTTCGTTAAGCCAGCAGATGTATGAAAAATTGTTTTCATTCAAAATGTTGAATAATGTTCTCTTTTATATTTTCAAAAATTTACTTTCACGTATTATTCTTCGATCCACTGCTGCGCTTCCACTGAAATTCTACGTATTGTATACTGGTCAGAGCAATTTGGTTGAACGAGCTATAGGTATCATACTGGGGATACGATCAGTGAAAATAATTTCAATCACTGAAGTGGAAGTAAACGTAGACTGGTCAACCGGTAGTGTCAGTAGGTATGTCGGTAAGGTAGAGTTTGGAAAATTCAAGGGCGATTTTCATCAGACAATAATTAAAATTGAAATTAATTTCTCATGTATATCAACAGAAGAGGGTGGAGGTAGAGGCAGAAGGAGTAATTTACTTATTTAGATTGAAACTCCATAACGTACGGTACCTATAGTTTGACTTTCTCAAAATCCTCCCTTAAAGTTTAATCGATATTAATAATAATAGTTACCCTTGAAAGTTTCAGATAGAAAATGAAAAATAAATGAGCAGCTCCGAAGGAAGATGTTCACAATGGATATAGGTATATCGGATAAACTACCCCTGTCAGAATTTCTCAGACCCTACAGACGTCGACCAAGCCGTGACGAGTATCTTGAGCGAAATTGGTCCGAAAACGAGAAAAAGGGGCGAAACTTTCTTTTTTCAAAAAGCGTTTTCAAATACCGTGACACGTCATCGATCCACGTCCTGGTAACCCTCGCGTGCACCCAACGTCAAGTCGCAACGTCGTCCTTGCACTAGATTCTAAAAAAGCCAAATACACGGTACCGAGTAACACAAGGTAAGAGGTGATCCTGAGAATCCAAAAATTAAATAAAAAATATTGCATCAATATATATTTTCGAGAAGCAGCGGCAGAGAGGAAAAATAAGAAGAGTCAAGAAGAAAAAAAAAAGCTCGAAAGACCCTTACTTTAGAAAACCAAAAATCGTCGGTAACGGCCTCATATTCAAGACTATCCAAGAAAAAGAATTCCCGAGTACTCTTAAAGAAAAACCATCCTCCAGGAATGGTATCGCTGAGAAAGAAGTATGGACTCGCTCACCGGAAGACACAGGGGGTGGACGAGAGGAGAAATTTTCATTTTTATTATACCCAGGAAAAGGGTAGGGCAATTTCACGAAATTGACTGCTCTGCGATTCACTCCTGGAAGAAGCTATATAAATGTTCATGCCAAATTCGATTCTGGACTTTTCCTGTCTGACGACCTACCTACTAGATCTACTTGAGCCATGGGAGACCAGTACCTCCGATTACTACTGCCAGTAGAGGTAGCAGCTACGATGCTACGCTATAGCACATACTATACATCAAGGAGACTCTAGACAGCACTGTACAGTATATGCATCGAATGCATGCCATTGAACGAGAATAGCACAAGGTGAAAACGCAGCTTAACACCCGTGAACGAAATTGCGTGCCGGGAGGAAGTTAGGACAGGCTAGTAAAGAGGAGTAGGAGGAGGGTGTCACCGTAACATCTGGCACTCATAAGCAAAGTAATACCTACCCGTACCAGCAACCAGAACTTTTTGCAATTATAGAGACGTTCTTCTACACGTGGCTCGTTGCCACGGTCTGACCACGTGCAGCCCATATCCACTGTCCGAGCAAACCACTGACTCATTCCCTTTATTCTTTTCTTCTATCACTTATAACGACTTTCTCTCGTCTTACCAAGTAGCAATATAGCCCCCCCCCCACCTCCCCACCCTTGAACATTGCAACACGTATAAACGTACAAAAGATATAAGCCCGACAAAATTTTCCCCGCAAAAGAAAAAATATAAAACAAAAATCCACAATAATAGTTCAGAGTAAAATAATTATTCCTCAGAGAATAATGAAGCTGCGCATAACTTCCGGTTACACCAGACTTTGCCCAGCCTCCCCTAATCACCAAGCCCAAAGTCCTGAACCAGTATATTTAAAAGTAGGTATAAATAATAATAACATTAATAACAATAACACGACGATAAATAATATTTATTATACTTTTACAGATATCACCATGGCAACCCCATTTGATTCGTGCATCCATAATATTCTGCATGGAAGTCCAGCCGCGGCTGTAGCATTCAAGTGGGTGCTAGACGCCGATGATGAGATCTCCGATGTCCGTCCGATGATGCCAGTAGTAAAGATCGACGGATAGAGTCCAGCTGAGTAGAGGTTGCGCATTATAGTCGGCCAAGATAGCGGAAGCGTATCGTGCCGTGCGGAGTGCGGAATTACGAGAAGATCGCGTGCTAAACGATTCCGCCTCGCCTGAGTACCGCCCGGCAAAACACCACAAATCGCCGCCATTATGTGCCCTCCTATCACCCTTACTCTCCCTTCTCTCTCTTTCACCCTTTTACCACCCACACCTGTTTCACGATACTCCTCCACCTCCCCCCCCCCCTCTTTCCTCTTTCTCCCACCTGGTTCAATTGTTTTACCTTAACCACCTCGGGCCGATTACCTAACCCTTATACATATATATATATATACTTGCACTATATAAAAGCCATAGGGGTATCGCACTGGTGGAAATCGAAACGCGTGTAAGACCCATCCCTTTTGTCCGCAGAACGTATGTCGGTGCTCAACTAATGAAAACGATATATCAATTACGTATACGACTGGGAGATTCTTTCCCCTATCTCTGTCTTTTATAGTGAGGTTGGGGGGGGGGAGGAGGGACAGCGAGAGAGATAGAGGAAAAGATGGAGAGAAATAAATAAAAGTCTAGAGGCTTGGATAGGGGATGAGAATCGACAGTGCGCAGGGGGTTGATTAGCGGACGGTTATTTCGCCCGGTGGGACAGTCAGGGGAGAAGATTGCTACTGTGGAGATATATACTGGTGCGATGTATGTATATATATATATGTGTATATATATATATATGAGATCGATCCAATGGAATTTTCAGTGAAGCGACGACGATTATTCCGCGTGCGGACAGACCGGATGTAGCGTCGAAGATATAAATAATTGACTTGGACACCTGGGAACAGGAGAGGAGAATGGGTGGGGGTGGGGAGGGGAATGGAAAATACTAAATAAAATGTTGTCCACTGGCTATCGGGTCGCAACTACGTCACGTGAATTTGGAAAAGCGTCGCGACGCGGGCTCGATTGTATCGAAAACCCATTGGCAGGGTTAAACGATGGTAATGCTACGTATATAACCTATAAACAGTAGCCGGATACATATTCCCACATGCAGTAATACCTCGTTTAACGATTCCCATGAAAACGAAATTCCCTTAAAACGAATTTCAAGAAAAATTGCTAATTTTAACGTTTCCTGCACGAAAAACAAATCCCTATTTATCCTATGTTATTTTTAGCTCCGATAACGAAGTTTGCCATAGCGAAGTAATTTTGTCAAATGCATCTATTTCGTTCATCGAGATGTCACTGTGTATGGGTATCGGTACGACGACGCGGGCAAATTCAAATATAGCAATTTTTGTATATTCCATTGTTCAGCAATTTTAATTTTCCCTTGAAAAAAGATGTTGAAAAGTGAAAAAAAAAGGGGGTGCAACTTTAAGGGGGATGAAAGTTGTAAGTTCTATTTGTATATGCAGAAGGTATAACTATATGTAGGTACAAGCCATTGGGCGTTCACGTACACGGATAATCAGATACTCTACTCCTTTTATTTGTCTATCCTTTCTTCATCGTCTCTCTTTGCATTCCAGGATGTATTGCTACAGCGAATTCAGTTCACTGAGGTGCAGGATTCACGGGGTGGGGTGGCAGGGAAAAGATAGGCGGAACAGGAAGAACCTGCAACGCTCACTTCGTACATGTTACACGAGAAGTCCAAAAGGAAATAAAGAAGCATCTAACTGAAATCAGGAATGTGAAGTGGATGGTAGTTTAAAACGATTCTTGACTCTTTTCCCATCTTTTCTTTTATCCTGGCAATAGTCGCATTCCACTCGTTTTCACGAGCTAAACTGTATAGCCAGTATATATCTTGTATATATATGCAGATATATAAATAGTATACATATATTTATATACTATCCTTATCTGTAGGTATTATGTGTTGGTTTTAGTAGAAGGATGCATCAGGTACTAGATGCAACTTTTTCCTACATGTATCCCATATAAGAATATATATATATATATATGGTCTAGAACGACGTAGTACAGCATCCAGATGTACGGCTGGATAATGCTGGATAGTCAGAGGTTGTTCCGCATTTACGCTAAGGGAAAAGATTAAATAAATCCAATTAGTGTTTCGAAACACTTTTAAGTCCCATTGGTGAACGCCATGCTACTGTCGTTCCGTACCAAAAAATAGAGTACAATGTAGAAACTTACGGTCCTTGGATACGTGGTTTACCAATGGCCACTATGCTGGCTATTAGGTTCAATGAAATTATCGTCTTTAAACTAACGAAATCGATTATCAATTATATGTACTGGTATACATAAAAAGCGACAGTCTACGCGGTTAGTGAGTTCGATAAAGTTTATGTCGAATTACGGAATCATATAATAGACTAATTAGCTTTTTAATTTTTTAGATTATGCAACCGACCAATCGGATATTAACGTAATTTTTCAAATCCACGTGTCGTTCAACTAGAAAATGTGTACAGTTGATATTTGAATATTTTTTTTTAAATGCCACAGTAAATAATGTCATGTTCTTTTTTTTCTATTGAATCGTAACTACACAATGGCGCCAACTGCTTCGAGATTGGTTCACTTTTTTCTTTCTTTTATTCTCTTAACTCTTCTCAACACGTACAGCCTGTTCGACTTTCTCGAATGGAACGATGTGTTATTACCCAGAGATAGGTACTCTCTAGCGAAAGCGATACTGTCTGAAGAGAAATCCTATTCGATTCTGAGATAGAAACTTGCGATTCACAGTATTGCCATAGCAACATGTCGAGCAAGGAACTTGGCAATTTCGGTGGTAAAAATCATAAACCTCTAATCCTATTATGGAGATACGTATAGTTCACGTATAACGATGTGACAAACTTCTGATCGAATCCGCTTAGACGGGATGCTAATCTTTGCGAATCCTTGTCATGATGACGCAGCTTGTATTCAATTTGGAAAAACGACTGTATTACGTTATTCGAGGGAGTTTTTGTGGCTAAGAGGCCCTGTAAGTGACATTTATAATTATGTTACTTAGATTAATTGAGAATTCGGTCTTACCTGGACAATGTACGTCAATCACAGTTGGATTATCGAAACGTTATTATTTCACATTCAACACTTTTGTTACACAATCATAAAAGGTATCTCTTATGCTCAGGGTATTATTATCTGTTGTATTATAAGTTTGATTAATTGAACGGCACTCGGCTATGTAATGATTAATCACAGAATTACGAATGAACGAGAATTACATAACAATTGTCATATAAATAGAGAAACAGTATCATGCTACGGTAACGGAATTGTATGATCGCGTGCAAAGGTTGCCACTCGAAATTAAGCAAAGAAAAAAAGTCCCTAGTTCCCCAGGGACCCTATAATTCTGAACGGTTAATAAAAAATGTATGGAAATTTAAAATATTCATGAAACCCATTAAAATGACAAAGATCCTTATCGTGGTTATAAAAAATAATACTTACTTTAAGCGTAATTAATAGGAAATAATGAAAATAAAGATAACGTAATATTAACGAGGATCGACCTAGATAACTTTAATTGACATTGCTCTCAGTTCCCTTTGAAACCAGCACTGATACGTATGCACGTAATTTATGAGCGCATATTTATAATTGCATTAATTTTTGCATCTCACAAACCGTAGCGAAAACTTTCATTAATAAGGAACCGTCGTTATCAACCCAACAAGCCCAACAGTCTCATTTACTGCGGACCAAACTTTCGTCACTTTACTTTATGCCAATGTACCCCTTTTCTTCAATTTTTTTTCTTCTTCTCACAAACTCTTACAGCTCCCATTAGTACTACTCTTTTCTAGTTGCACGACCTCTGACCCTCTTGCCACTCGGTGTGATTTCTTTGGATCTCAACCCTTCCAGGCATTCGAATGACACGAGGAAACCTTTTTGAGAAACCCTTATGAAAGAGGACGAAGGGTGGTTTTATATTTTCACTCGAAAGTTGTACATACGTTTTACACTATTTTTTTTCCTTTTTCTTTTAAAGTGAACATTCGAAAGCAAAAATGGGAGTGTAAATTAAAAATATTCCTTAAATTCAGGTAATTCCGTCCCTCGTAAATAACCAAATAAAATGTGCAGAGCCATCTCGTGTAATTTGTAAAACGTACAAACTAGAGGATCTCGTTTCGTCTAGTCTGCGGATTTATGTGAGAGTGAAAAATATTCGATAAACTTTTTCATTAATGGGAAAATGCCTTTACACGATTCCCTTTGAAGAAGTTATAATTTGCCTGCGCTTTCGGTGGGCTTATTAAAAGTGATTTCGCTCTGGGTTTTAAAGTGAAAATTTTTTTATTTCATTTTCTTTTCCTCTTCGCCTCGTCACACTCCAACATATTGACTTTCCCGTGATACGTGTGGAACTGATTCTGTCTCCGTGCTCTTATTTGTTTTTTTTTTTTTTTCATTGAAAATATAATTCACGTATGCCTCTACCGCTACATGGAAACGATAATACAGAAAAAGTAAATTGGCCCAGCTGGCAGAGAGCGTAGGCGGAGGACTTTTAGTCAGTCTGATTAAATTTTCTCCATCGGTCAAGTTCGTGACCTAGGTGTAAACATAAATTTGAACATAATAAAAAGATTGGACAATGAACCACAGTCGTAACTGTATAATGTTAATACAATGGGATTTCAGATCCTCAGGTACATAATTCATCTAAATGTCCGTAAAATTCTTTACATAAAATTCTAATTAGCCCGCTGCCATAAAGAACCGAAAATAAACTATGTTCGCCACTTTTAGGAACCCTGGTGAGGGTGCAATTAAAATGATCAAGTTCAACCTTTAATGATCTTACTTATCTCGCTAAAGGACAACAGTAATTCCCCTAGCAGGTTTCTCCCTCCACGCGACACCCCTTAATCTTAACAGTACCGATACGCGTGTTGAATGTAATTGACATAGAGAAAAGTCGAAGAAAATTTTCTCAGATCGCAAACACTTTATTCTTACAAATAAAAAAAAAAGCAATGTTTTCAATACTCCGCGAGATCAGATAAAGAGTACGGAATAAAAAAAAATGAATCAAGTGTTCGTTTCTGAGAAAACTGTCAAAAAAATCAGTTAGCAAATGTCTCGAAAATAAATTACATGTACTCGAAGGAATTTTAAAAATTGTATTTTATAGTAGTCTCCCAAAAATATGCTGACTTTCACAAAGCGTCATACACTGCCGTCACCGAACACGTTTCACTACTGTCACGTGCTCCGGCGTAAGAGCGAACGACGCGAAGTTGAGAGACTCGCGTGATACTCGCTTGATACTCCGTTGGAAACTGCGTTCTCCACGGGTCCCCACCAAACTCGAAGGGGGCAGGACGCCCGGCGTCGGTTAGTACTCGACGCGCGACGTCGCTCCGCCTTCCTACGAAAAACCACCCCCCAAGTCGAGATCTCAAGACCTCACGACCTCACGACCAAGGATCGTTCCCATGGTCATCTTGAGTCGCCAGCAGTTCCCGTCCAAGCATCGGACGTCCCCTTGCAGCTACCTGCGTCTTGATAATTGATAAACCTTCTCCTATCATCGTACCCCCTGTACAGTGATACTGCTATGTGCATGCATCTGCATGGACGCACTTTAACCAGCCTTCGTCCTTGATTCACGATTAAACGCCACACAGTGTGTACGGACACATGCTCCTAGTAATGTGTATGAAGAATATATGACAAATTAAAATTCGTATGCATAACTGTGCTACTGTGTAAATACGCCTTTATATGTTGTACAAGCATACATACCAAAAATGACAGATCCTTCAGTCCATGTAAATTTGCATAGGTTATTTAGTAAGGCGTTGAGGTTATGCTCGGCCCACGTCGCTTCTCTATGTGTCGGTAAGTTAGAGTTTTACAGACTGTTAAAAAAATTAATAGGCGACATGAATATTATTACGTAAATTGATGCACTCAAAGTCGGTAATCCAACTTAAGTTGTATCATATCAGGTTACATCGTTTCTTTCTAACCTTATTCTTTTCCCCTACGATCAGCAGGTTACCATTGGAAGTATCCCAGTCGCTTGGAATTTTCTTCGAAACGATAAAATTCCCGCCTCGTCGAAGGTCCTTAACATCGAGACATCACGGTTGAGTGTTTTTATTCCATTACCGACAGCGGCAACCTCTTAACCACTTACTTAACCTACAATCTTCACCTCTGGAACCCCAACCTTCACACTTGATGGCGTTTGACAACTCAAATATTATCTAACTCCTGATCCTCCCTTGTACCGACCCTAGGATCTCTTCGACGCTATCTAGTAACATCTTCGTCTATAGGTACAAAAGCTATACACTGTATTTGGGTTTTAACAACCTGACGATCAATTTACCTCGACACTCTCCACTCGCCACGACACTTTTTTTAGTTATCAAAAAAAAAAAAACTTTGAATAAATTTCATATCACAATTTCACTCAAGAGGATATTCCTGTTTTGCAAAACCGTGATGTCATTTATAAGTTTTTGGACGTTAATGGCAATTAAAAAGAAAGTCATAGTTCACGAGATGCAAATAGATTTGGGTGTGTACTTCAAGCGAGATTCTGCTTATAATTTAGTGACTCGGAGGTCTGTTTAATTCATTGGGGTTTAGTGAAGTATTATGGATTAATTTTTTTACTGTAAACGACAGCCGATTCTGCTGAGCCTTTTGTATCCGGTCTACCGTAATGAGTAATGATCAATGGCTAATGAATATTACCCAGTTCATTGACATTTCCCTCATTTTCAATTGTACATTAAATAGAATACCTGAAAGGGTGTCTATACTAAAACCCTCGTTTGTGGAGATTTTACCACACGTGTCCAACAGTACATATGTGCAGTACAAGGTTGTGCCTCGATTCAACAAGCGATCCCTCTACCATGAGTGCAGCAGCACATGCAACAAATTAAATGACAATATATTCATATCGATATATACCCGTATGACCAAAATGCAATTGGCTATCTCCAATAACCTGGTAACAGAGAATCGACATTAAAAATCACTTTCGTCCTCTACATTTGATGCAATGTACACAAAATTTTATTGCGAATATAAAAATCTACTTGAAAGGCATTTGTAACGTATGATTCAATAAAATTCTCTTATATTTGATATTCAGAGACTGAGTTTTAAATTTTGAGCTAGATTTTCAAAGCCATTGGAAAAATCGAAGATTCTCAAATATTTGGTTACATGCCACCGCTAAGTAAAAGGTAGATAAATAGAGCCTAGCGAGGGGAGGATGCGTGGCTATCCACACGTGGTGAAAATGGAAAGAGGGTAGTGCGGGATATGGTGGGTGGAATGGTAGGAGAAAAGGGGGAGGTGGTTCACGAGTTACCTATACTTTTGATGCATGCGGCCAACGCCGTGTTTATGTTAATGTAATTTTGTGCCCTGACGCGGCCGCGCTGAAATAACGACTATCCCAGAGATAAATCGTTTCTGCATACGCATGTGATATGCATGTTTCCCAGCGGTAACAGCGCGGCACAATTTTAGCGGAAGCACTCGTTCCGCAATTGAATTGCTGATTTGCGAAAGTGGACCTAGTGTGTACACCCTGTGAGTAGTATCCTGAGAAAAAGGAAGAGTCGTAAGGCGTCTGGTAGCATTTGGAGAAAGAGGACTGACGGTATACATAGTGAGTGAGATGTTACCTTTATAAATACATATAAAAATGTACCAAGAGAAACTGAAAATATTTTCCAGAAAACTTCCACTGTCTATGACGGTTTCATTGGTGGGAAAATCTACTTTTCCTATATATAGCCATTAATGGTCCAACTGCTTCCTACGTAAGAACCAGCAGATGCATTGGATACGTTAATTGCAATACTTGAAACCTAAATGCATATCTTGAGATAAAGCCAGTGTATTCTTAGTATTGAAGATTGACATAGAGAAAAATCAAAAAGTACCTTACGGCGTGGCTGCACTAGTCTGGGACCAGGTATGCAAAGACAGGCAATGAACCAAAGTTTAAAATTAGTTACAGAACTGGTGGACGTTGAAGTTGATTGACTGATTAGCTTCTCTTGTTGGTGGTAAATGATACGGCTGGTAAAAGGAAGCATGTAGTATTTTAGCTCTCTCTCTCTCTGTTTTTAATTTTACCGTTGCGCTGGTTTTAAAACCTGAACCGTGCTGATTGACCGGGGTTTCTCCTGCTGCCTGAAGTTAAGCCACACGCTAATGGAAATTTGTTCGTCAGGCCAAACATACGTCCCGTCGTATGACACATCATCCACTCCTGGTTCTCGCCCCTATATTTTTCAGCGTCGACCTCTGTGCTTTCACCTCGCTGAACAACTTCTGCCCTTGAACACATATATTGCATATCAACATCCCTCAGGCTCATGTATATATGTATTTCAGTTATCAAGGAATATTTTCCAAGAGGGGTGTATAACATTGGACAGCTGGAACTGGGCAGACGAATCTGGACCAGATGTGCTTACCTTAAGCCAAACGATTAAACTGCAGAGTAAATCAAATACGTATTCTGTTGAGGTCTATTTTGTTCCTTTTCCTTTTTTAACTCCTTGTAGAAACGACTATAGACAACGCATTCGATAATCCATTGGCATATAACAATGTTTTATATCATAATAACATAAAATTACCCATTGAATATTATTATCCTATTATAGATATCTTTCAGTTAATCTGCATTCTAATTTAATGAACGCTCGAAATAAAGAATATAAATAAAATTCTTTACTGTCACTGAAATAACACACAACGCTTCTCATTGATTTTAAATTAAATGGCAGCTATCAACCAGAGTTACCAATATTATCCTCAACTGATTTTTCCTTCCGTTCTCCAGGTTACAAGGCACGTTCTCACCCCCTTCTATTACTATCCCGAGTCTGTCTTCGTGAATGGGTGTGAACCAATATCGGCTGGCAGGTGAAGGATGCGCCACACGTTGTGCGTTCAACTAAGGAAAACTCTTGGAGAACTCATCTCCTTCCTCCACCTTGAAGGACACAGGCACGAAGAAGGTCCAGGCTGTTTCCATAGCTCACGTATGCCTGATAATGGTTCTCCTCCAGGACATTAGTTTCAAGACACTAACTGATTTTTTTGGTGATGCATTTTACTCCTGCGAACTTTGAACTTCATCTTTTTCAAGGGCCCTGTAATCCTAAGCAAAAAAGATATGTAAATTCAATTATTAATATCACAGTAAGAAGTTCTCAATGGATTATAACGCGTCTGATATTGCGTGTCCCAATAAATACCTGCTCGTCCCACAAGGCGTTGGGCTTTGTAATAAATGTTATGGTCCGTCGATTGACTTGAGAAATGTCAGGTTCGCCAACCATTGTCTTCCTCTTTAACAAAGAGGCCGACCTTTATCGATGGACTTCCCTTCACCGGAATCATAATGGCCTCATACTGTACTGCACGCTATTTGCTTTAAGCTTGAAGGGCTAAACATAGTTAATTTATCGTTTAAAAGAAATCTCACGAGTAATAAAAAATTATGTTCAATTATTGTAGATTAGTATTAATTTGTAGATAGGATAGTACTTGTTAATTCAGACAGTGTAAATTTACACAGGATACAATTAGCTTGGTTAAAATAGCCAGCGCTACGTTTCGCAAAGAGATAATATTTTCTTCTCTACTTATATACTTGTAGAACATACTTTAAATAGTGCGGAGTCTGTTTTACTAGTGAGAGTAAAATTCTATTCATTATGGTAACTCATATCTTCTCTTTAAAAAGTAAAGTTACAGTTTGCTACTTAAATACCGGATACTAGTTTTACAATTGATACTTAATTCACCCTTATAAAAGACATTACGTTTACAACTGAAATAATTGACCTTGATTTTAATAATTCTGCACAACCCCTGTGGATTGATAAAATGGATAGCAATGGTATGTTATCTATTTCAAAATGAGTATTAACATGATTTTATATTAATAATTTATAGGAGTAAAGAAACATAGCGACAAGTGCAGTAGTCAAAATTTGTAGAACCAATAAGATAAATTCTTGAGATGCTCTTCAAGCTACCCCCGCTTGCCAGTAGTTTATCGCGTAACGCCAGGGGCGGAGAGAAACATTGAAAAAGGTAAAGCGTCTCACTTGCTAACAGGGGAAACGGCTGGGTTCTCAAGAGTCGGAAAAGTTTAGCGAATACCGAATGGAAGAGGGAAGTAAGAGAGAGAGAGAGAGAGAGAGAGAGAGAGAGAGAACAGAGAATACGGCGCTTGAAAGAGTTCTTATAACCGTCTTGGGTGCTGTGCCATGGAAGAGGGAAGTAAGTAAAGCGTCTCACTTGCTAACAGGGGAAACGGCTGGGTTCTCAAGAGTCGGAAAAGTTTAGCGAATACCGAATGGAAGAGGGAAGTAAGAGAGAGAGAGAGAGAGAGAGAGAGAGAGAGAGAACAGAGAATACGGCGCTTGAAAGAGTTCTTATAACCGTCTTGGGTGCTGTGCCATTCATCTACGCTCCTGCCTTCAAGTTTATACACTTAGATCGTTCAACGTAACGTTCTTTCTTCTTCCTGGCATAAGAGAAGCTCCAATGCTGTTTCGTAAGTCTATACCAATCACCTTTACAGTGCAGCTTTCATTGTTTTAGTTCTTGACTTTCGAGCCCCAGCTCATTATAGTCCATCCCATTGGGAATCCAAGACCGTAGTTGAATTTAGATTTTGTAGCAGCAAGTTTGTAGTTCTGAAAATCAGCAATTTCATATACATTACGTATAGTTCCATATCGACACCATATTGATAGGTGAAGGTGGATGAAAAAAATGTTAAATGAATTTTATTACCTTACAGTGGATTATAATAATTCTTATTGGTTTTATGGGAAGAAGTAAGCAGGTAGTAGGTATAGGTCAACCATCCCACGAGTCAAAAACCAATCACGTTCCTGACTATACTGGTTCTGGTTATTACCAGTGCCAGACTCAAACCCAGGGTTCTGTTCTGAGTTACTGGAATTGCCCAAGTTTGGCAGCGCCCTCCTGAAATTCTACATTTCAATTTGATATTCCTGAATCGCGCGACACAGTAAATCTCAAGAAGGATCCCTAGGTACGTACGAGGGTAGTGTTGGATACGGACCAGGAGTTCCTTCACGAGCCACCCTTCAGAACCATATAAAAAATAACCCTCTTGAAGAAGGTTGCAGGATCTGGAAAAAGAGTGGAAGATGTAGTGTCGATTCCTAACACCCTGTAGATACCCGGTGCAAGTCATTCAAACGTATACCTTGTCCCCTGAGACGGTAAATGTCTAACTGCCTGAATGCCTCCTACCTGACACCTGGCATCCGCGCGAGGTACCTTAAATCTTTATAGCCTCAACTTTCTGAAAGATGTGACTGCACACAACTGAAACTCAGGACGCAGAATGAGAAACGCTGCCAATAGATAACGTTATACAAACCGTGCAATTTTTTATCAGTCCAGGTAGTATCGATTCCCAGGAGATATGTCCAAATTTCATGAATCCCATAGAACTTCTTATCCTGCCATAACCTCCTACTTACTCCGTATATCCACAGCAGAAGAAAATCCAAGAAGAAAAATGAGGAGTCTGAAAAATAAGAAATCATGTAATTTCTAATTCTTTGTCCGTCAAATTTCATCCTCGTGAAACGCATGGCGGAACACGTGCTCTCGTACTCCATTGCCAGGAAGACAATGACGCAATGAGGGTTACCAAGGGGAATGAGTAAATCCTCGAGCACCGGGGGATGGTTGGAAGCGTGTAAATGAGAAGCGATTGGGAACTGAAGAGGCTGAGAGTAAGAGAGAGAAATATTAACGGCACTGAACGAGCGTAAGAGAAAGACAAAACATCCCTCGACCAGGCAGAGCTGGATGAACCGATAGTTCTGTACGTATAGGTGTTCTATACATACAGGTCGCCGGATGTAGAAAGGGCCAGGGTGGCTCATGGAACTCATCGAGTCAGAATAGGGGTTGGCAGGTCGCGTGCGGGTTAAAACAGAAAAGCTCTCGACGTGGCTCAGAACTCTAAAGCCATGGAGGTTCCGGCTAAACTAAACGGTATTAAAATCGATGCGGGCAACAGATGTGCGTGGATAGGTTTACGGTGGCGAAGCCAATAACGAAAATCATTAAATTAGCTTAACCACTGCGCGGCCGAGGTATTAACGGGTCGCTAATTTTATTATTTAGCGTTTACATAAAAAGCCCTACGCAAGCCGGCCGTCCTTTAGCTAGCGATTCACATCTATTACACCTTTAGCCACCCTTTATATAATAATACGGTCCGTACAGCCAGAGACTCTGGCATTGCAGCGGGATTAAAACTTGGGAAAGTTAAAGTTCCGACGGGTCCCGACGCCAAGAATCCGTTTCAAGCGACGCTTCCCCTCCGCACTCCACACGAGGATTACACTGAAATGCTGGATGCCAGATGCAGGGAGCTTTTCAGTAGATTGAAACAAATATATTCCAAATAATTACCAATGCGCGACCAGCTCTCTGCCTCTTAAACGTTGGCCTTGCTTATTACTAAAAACTCTTGGCATCCGGTGCGACGTTCTGGAAAATATCCTAGGGGGATCAACTGCTCCGTTTGAACCCTTCGAAAACTTCACGGGTTGTACCTTGAAGTTGGGTATAATAATAATTTATATTTAATCAATTAGTATACGAATAATGGGTTAGAGTAATGAATAATTGTTTATACCTGGTTCCTTTGTAAGAATAAACTGGTCTACTGCTTTGTGACTTTTCTAAAGTGGGTCTTTGCTCATCCTGTATACTCTTCATAGGCACTGCTTAATATCATCCAGTCGATTCCATCCAGTAGGAACTAACCGGATTCGATAGGACTCGACATTGTTGAAAGATCCTTGCTGAACGTGCCGGAATGATGAGGTGTCGCGTTGCGTCGTGTTGGATCGAGGAGTGCTTCACCCTTATGCTATCCCATTTGATTCCGTAATCCATTCCGGATACCCGGCTATACTGTGTTACGGCATCTGCGATACGATACAGGACGAGAGACGCCGGGACGTCGGGACGTAGCTGAACTGAACTGAACTGAACGGTAAGGTACGTACCAGGACATCAGTCTCTTCTGTCTTCGCTTGTCTGGGGCAGATTCCCTGAAGAAATTCCAACCTCGATTCGCCTCGCCAATACGAATGCTCCACCCCATGTTATACGACTTTTTTTTTCCTTCCTCTACGGAATCTTGACGTCGCGGAATCTTTGAAATTCAAATATTATTTCGTAGATCGGACGCAGTGCCATGGTGAGAAGAACGTGAAGCTAGTCACTTTACTTCTTGCCTGAAGTCAAAGATCCAGCCGTACGAGCGATAGCTTTTGCGTATAGTATGTTTATCTGTAAAATTAAATTTTTATTGATATGACAAATTAATTTTTGTTAAAAAACGAAAATTATATTAGTTTCATACCATAGTTAACTTTCTTCTTGGCGTATCTCGCTGTGAAATTACTAAGATCAGAATCCCAGAGAACTTACACTGTTGGAGGATGTATTTTGCCAGAGGATGATACTCCTGCAGGGCAACTCCTTGGAAGCGATGCACCTTACTCCACTCGTTCTATCCGTTGGAAAGTTTAACCATCTCCGTTGGATAAGTTCTTGGGGATTTGGCCAATAACTGATCAACGTCGATGGAAAATTTCAATGAAACTTTGCCAAAGACAAACCTGTCCCAAGCATCACGTTCGGCTCATCTGAACTATCTGAAATCTTCCCAATAATCAAATCGCAAATCGTACCACCCTAAACAATTTGACTCAAGTAGTTGCCTTGATGCAGACAACTTAACCACTTTATGTCATAGATTAAAAACAGACCTTTCCACCATTCTTTAAAGCGTTTCCACATTATCCGGCAACTGTTAGCACAATCAAGACTCGGGATATGCATACATAAAGGAAAAGGATGACGAAGAAGAGGTCCAGGTAGTGGCACATGTTGGGCACTGCCATAGTGTTCAGCTTCGCGAGAACTCTTGCAGGTTAAACGTTGGGTATAGAGGTGGCGACGGTTCCTAGCCGCTGGTGATGTAGCCTGCGGGACAGTAATTTGCATGGCTGAAGCGGTTGGTTGGTTGACTGGCGTTGTGCTTGCTTTAGAGTGAGAGAGATTGCTGAAGCCAAAAGAGAGAGTAAAGGAGAAGGAGGGACAAGGAGAGAGAGAGAGAGAATTCAGTCGAATGAGGAGTCCAGATCTGAGAGCTGAACCAAGCCAGAGAGAGAGAGAGAGAGAGAGATTTTGACTTGAAAATGGTGAATAGAGAAGGGCGAAGCGTAGAAGAGGAGGAAGGAAGAAGAAGCAGAGGTAGAGGTCTAGCGAAGCACTCCGACTCGCATTCCAAGCAGACTCGGTGAACCGGGTTCATTATTTTCTCGTTATAAGTTTCTACAACTCCGGCTTGTTGTCGTAACGTTGTTAACGGGACGCGCCGCGAATTGTTAAACGGCGCCGTTCGCGGCGCCCTCTGTGCTTCGTTGTCACGAACGCGCCACTTTTTAATTTATTAATAAACAGCCACTGTTTTAGAGGGTCCACGTGGAAACGGCTGTAGGTGGCATGACCTTTTACGAGCTCCCTAACCTCTGGGATTATTGAAAAGTATCGTTTAATGCCGTTCCTAGCTGTTACGGTTGATTCACTTCCACGAGGCCGAAATACTGGCTGACGTAACGAATGAAGAATGACTTTAGCCACTTGGTTTCTTCCTTCTTCCTTAATCACAATTTTTCTTCTTTTTTTTTTTGACAGACCGACCTATCACACAACGCACTTCTGCCAGGGAACAAGAGTCTTGGCAATTTCGTGGGAAACCCACACCAGGCGACATTAAAATAGCATTTGCTTTCTCATTCGTCGTGTACGTCATCTGTACTCAGCGTGGATATGCTCACCTAACGACACTCGGCGTAACTGTCAGCCTCTGGGTGATTCACAGTGCGGCATTGCTTGAGGTTATGTCAATGTATGCCTAGTATATATTCTCGTTCCTCGTGTTACCTTTATTTCTAAAAGTGCAATGCACTGGGATTTAAACGTGAAAGTAGATACTTATATTTATGTAGGGTTATTCGCAACAGACGCAACACCTGTTCTATCATATAAATCAAATGGGGAGGGCAGCTTCGGATGGTGCCTTTGTCGTGAATAATCCTTTACATACATCCATATATATGCTTACTTGAAAAATGTCTTACATTCGTATACACAGATAGACGGTATACCAGAAGACAATGTCCGCATAGGATATATAACCTCCTAGCTGGTGAAACACGTATCAGGATTGTGAATGGAGATTTGGAATTTTTTTCTGGAAATATGTCAGGATTGCCAGACGAGTAAATGGCTCTGTGGAAAGTAAAAGCAGCTAGAGCAAATGGACGAGCTCTCAATTTCGTCCCAAAAGTCCTGCAGGATGAGATTCTTGATTCCTGGATTTTGCACAAAGGTGTGAACACTCGTCTGGGTTTTATCCATCCGGAGCGTCTCGATTTCATCGATTTGACTGGAGAATCCGGGTACGAGGATTTCTAGGGGATCGACTGGCTATTCGCACGTTATCGACATTGCAAATGCATCTGGTGGTGGCTCGACATGGATGCTACTGCACAGGACGTAAGCGTAACCTGGATACACGTATAGTCGACTAATAGATAGCTGCACGTGGACTATACTCACTGCATATAGAGTTTATTTACCGGACGAACGGTCTGGCCTTTCACGGCAATAATATCTGTCACTGACAAGTTTAAAGCCCAGGTACGCCAGGCCATTGCCTCGATATACACGTGTACCTGCTGCATACTGTAATTTCAGAGCTTCACGTGACTCTGATATCATCCGTGCTTTGCCAGTGACGTCTCACAATCGTTACGTCACGTTCTAGTACGCACAATTGCTCCTGCTAACAGTTCCTCCAATTATTGGTGAATAGCTGTACCCTTTATGAACTCGAAAACAGAGTCCCAGTATTGACAAGGCAATTACTCCAATAACGGGAATCACGTTGTGATTTAATTCAATGCCTTGAATCTCATTTTCCTTGACACTGATAACAAGCTCTTCTTTCCTACTGGCTTCTGCTGACTCGATGATCGCCCTTGACAATTCAATTTGCTTAAATTCCAAGGGCGCACGGGCGTTCAATCAGATTTTCCTTCGTTTCTAAATAGTCAACGTCGACGTTGGATGCTGAGAAGCAAGCGGCCCCTCGCGACTTGGTACTCCAGAATACTTGATATTTGATACTTGCTGCAGGAGAAAGGCGTGGATGCTGTTGAAGAAGAGAAATAAGGGTGAATTCAGGGCTGGGACAGAACTCGAGGACGTTGAGGCGAGGACGCGTCGTGTTAAAGTTTGTTCCTTCGGGGAGAGTTTAGGACCGCAAGCAAAGATACAAGTAGGCCGCTAATGTCTAAACTCGAAACTAAAGTATCTACAAGGTGTGGCGGAAATACGGAGGAAGTCAAAGGCGAGGAGCGCCAAGGGCTCCGCTCCGGTTCCAGCCTTAGGGAAGAATGAGCAAGTTAACTTTCGATGTGGAGCAATTTAAGTTTGTAACGAGCGTGGTATGCGCCGCAAGAAGATGGCGGTGCGATGGCGAGGCTGTGGAAGAGAGTGTCGACGACCGCAGCGGCATAGGTTCTGACCGGGGTTGAAGGAACTTCGGTCATGAATTAATTTCACGATGGAATCGTTTATACTACATTAACTTTTAATTTACTAAACGTTTTCGTCTTTACCGTGTATTTATATTAACTTTCTTCGTTTCGTTATAATGGATAGCCGCGGGCCAAGAGTTGTCCCTGACGGGAGGCTTATTGCCTTTCAACCAAGACCTTCGGCCTCTACCGAAACCACTCCTTTTGAATCTTCTCGATTCTATCTCACTTCCTGCCTACATCCTCAGCCACCACGTCTTCCTCCTTACTTTCTTCTATCCATCCAGCCGTCATCGTGATACGGAGAACTCATTCGAGATCCCACGAATTTCCGATCAACTGAGCGTCGAGTCAATATTTCTTTACCCTCTCTACCGGATGTACAGCTTTCACCCCTTGGTCATCGAAGCATATTCTTGCATCCTGAAGTATACGCAAACACTGCTTCGTTCAGCTCTCTGGATACCGACTGCTTTTATCTTTTGGGGTTTTCACGGGATGTCCTTTTACTCCTGGGAAATGAAAAAGAAAAACTTGCTTACAATGGCGACAGGAGTTGAGACGGTCGGCGTCGCAACAAGATGAACGAGCCTTTGAACGGTTTTCAAACCGCGCCAAGACGCTAATCCACTTATAATGCATAATCGATAAAGCACACGCGTTACAATTTCTAATGGTTCGCTGAATGTCAGTCAAATGTTATTGTGTTACTTTGCCAGGATTACCTCTGGTGGTAACATCGTACTGGTTAGCCGTTTCAGCAATGGGGTTCAATGGTAATGGAGGGATGAGTCATTCAGGCGGTTTCCTATCCACTGCTGATTTCCGGTATCGTGCTGCTTTTACATTCCGTAGGATCTCGTCGATACCCCGAAGGGTCCGCCTAGACTACGGGCGATCCTCGGGGATGGAAGAAAGAGGAAGAGGATGAGAAGAGCCAACCCCGTAATAAAATCACTTGTTGGATTTCCGGCAATCATGTAGTCGAGCCTCTGATTTACGTTTTCGGCTTTGCTATTCCGGAACCCAAGGTTGGGGAACTCGGTGAAAGCTCGACCGCACCCTGCCGTCCAAATGCCAATCCACGACCTTCCTTTCTTTTCCTTAAACTATTCAAAATTTTTAATCTATTAAAGATAATTTCAGTATATCCAATCTGGTTTTGTATTAGAAGTTCACTTGTATATTAACAATTAATTAATAATATTATTCACCAGATTAAATAATATTTTTTATCTTTCACTCAAACCTTAATGAAACCATAACCTCACTTCTTACCTTATTTATATCCTTCTGCCAGAAGAGCTAGCAGTCTTAGAAATTTCCCATTAATATTTTTTTTTGCTCGGTATACTCAAGGAGATTCCACCCCTGTATGATTTCCATGAGATATGATGCAGCTTGTACATACATATATGTAGTATTACTTGCTCCTATACAAATTGTTCTTCCTGCTATGCCAACCCAGAACATGCCACCATCCTTCGCCGCAGGGGGTCGCTTAGCACGCAATATAACCAGCCGCAATAGCATAACCATGATATATTTCCACAATTTGGAGTAATTCCGTTAAAACAGAATAATGTCGGCCAGTAGATGGAGAGTGAGGGTGTAGGTTTACACGCCGACGGCAGTTCCAACGTTTCTGACGTTGCTGCCGTAGACACAGGGAGTAAAGGCACTTGGCCAACTCCTTCACTCAGACTGCGAGGGTCCTGTGTGAGCATACGTAGCCGTTAAGCGTTTGAAAGGTCATGAAAAACGAAGAGAAGGCAGGTTTGCAAAAGTCTCCTCTTGCTCCACAGAATTGTTGTAGTTTAAGTAACAAAAATTCCTAGGCACTCCCACCTGAAAGAGACGTTCATGGAAAGTGAGTGACGATACGATTGGAAGAAAAATATTAATAAAAATAAAACCTTTTTGAAAATCAAGCTACTGGCAACCTCGGTGTACAAACTTTAGAGTTGTCAGGTTCAGAGTCAACGTCGAAAAATTGCATTGTACGCAACATCGGAAATTGCTGGACTCGACAAAAAGGATCTTGCGAACGTAGCAGAATGGCCAACTACCAGCTTCCTTCGTATAACGTAGAGCCTTCTGCACCTTTAGACGAGGAAACTGATTAGTGGCCGTGTTTATACTCATTATACGTGCTGCGCACCATGGCATTACTCAAGCGTCTAGCGCCTTCTTCATTTACAGAAGCATTCGGCCCCTTGCGCCCCCTCACGTCATTCCAGGCTTCAACACGTTATTGCGGATATTTGCCATCCCGAACTGCCATCCTGGTAAAGTCTGAATTGCCTGAAATAAATTGACAGTAATAAATCAATATGAAAGCCTGCATTGGACTTGAACCGCTTCAAGGAACGTTCCATTAAAATATAATGATTTTAGGGTCTCTTTTTAAAGCGAACTCAATGAAGCAAGGAAGATAATACAAGTGGTACAGGAGGGTGATGAGTTAGGTTACCTCGTAGCCCAAAGACAGATATTCATGAAGGTTAACGGTGGGGATTACGGATGTTAGTCCTTAGGATGGTTCTTAGAAGACAGTCATCCTGGGTACATGGAGTAACCCTATAGCGCCAGCAAGATCATGGGCAAGATGCTACAGTCTTCACATAGTCCACCACGGCGCAGTGGCACGCTGTAATAATACGTAATATCTTTACTGTTTTAGGCAGCCGCTCGCATTATTCGGATGCCGGGCGTGCCTCGGGAGTTTAATTTCGAATCGTATTATGTCCGTGGGCGCTGCGAGAGCAGAAGCGAGATAGAAGCTAGAGAGAGAGAGAGAGAGAGAGAGAGAGAGAGAGAGGAAGCGAGAAGGCAGCCAAGCAACTCAGGCAGGCAGCCAACCAGGAAGGCAAGCAGGCTGGCAGGCAACTAAGCAGCTAGGTAGGAAAAGCAGCCAGGCTTCAGGAAACGACGACCAAGAGGAGACCTTTGCAACCCCCTAGACACAGGGATGAAACGTGGCGACGGGAGGGGGGTGGCTACAATTTCCTGGCGGGGCAGGGGTAGCTACCGACATTGCAACAGCAACCTGGAACAAAGGGAGTCTTATACAAAAAAAATTAATTGGCGGTGGCTACGTACGTTGCTGTTTTATACGTATGGTATGGCACCTTAAAAAATATTCTAGGATGAAAGGATGGTGTCTACGATTTTAGAAGACAAGCCATAAGCCAGGTGTTCTCAATTTTCAATTTTCTGGACTGCTCTTTCCAAGGATTTTCTCAAGTGGCTCGACACGCGCCGTTCTCCTGAGGGCTTTCGACTTTTTTTTTCATCCCTTGATGGTACCACGATTCGATTGGATAGTTTTCCTTTCTTTTTTTTTTCTCTTAGACGCTTGCTTTTCTACCGTGTTATTTTTTACCGTCAACCCTCCTCAACGTTGCATTCACCCCATCGCATAGAGGGGGATGGAGAATCCTTTTCTTCTATGAAATTGTGCCACTGGGACGGTACAAGGGTATCTAGAAAATTTGTTGGTTCCCTCGGGGAGTCTCTTGATAATTCGATATTATTATTGGCAACTCTGTAAATTTGAGAGTGTACGTTTCTACGAGTGTACGTATAGCTGCGTATGCTTATTAGTTTTACGAATTTCTATGCAATGCTTTTGTAGAACAGTACCTCCAATATGTAGTTAAAGTCCGCTCTTTTCGAGCAATGAGCAACTAAGACCAAACCAATTTCGCCATGTGAAATCCTCGCATGTGAAATGCCCATTACTTGACGTTATATATAGTTTAATTTGCACCAACGAAAATTAAGAAGCCATTAAAACCCCCCACCAGCGTGCACGGTTAGTATTCAATGCTCAAGACCTGAGAGCGAATGGAACACGAGAGAGGAAACTCAGTGACTGTTCCGTATGTAATGGAATACTGAAATTAAAATGATTTCATTGAATTTCTTTCCTTTTGTCAAGTCAAAATTGTCACTAGAAATAG